TTCCTTCTTTGCAATATCGGAAGTAATCCGGTGAACGTCGCGTCTCTAGGAAAATTTCTAGGTTCAGTAGTGATTCTATGTTTCAGATTTTTAATTTTGTTTTCCAAGTCGGTATTTTTTGTTTTCAGCAAGCTGTATAAGGCACCATCAATTGTTGCGTCAGGCGGGGCCTCAGCTTCAATGTGATTAGAAACCTTATTTGTAATAATATCAGACTGCGTTACCAAATCTCCAACATCTATTGAGGCCTCTAACGTCCAATAACCGTTAGGTACACAAATCGGATACATTTCTTCCAATGCGACACCAACGCTACCTGGAAAGTTGCGTATGGGGGGACGTCTTATCAAATCTATTTAAACCGTTAGGTACACAAATCGGATACATTTCTTCCAATACGACACCAACGCTACCTGGAAAGTTGCGTATGGGGGACGTCTTATCAAATCTATTTAAATTCGATGATGTACCTTTGTCGTTGATTGGGATTTCCTTAATCGTGAGGGGATTCGACACATCAAGTAACAATATACAAATATATATTTTCACCAATTTCCTATACACTTCCATAATTTCAGTAATATCCAAGCGTTGTTTATTCCTTGCTGGTTAACTGCGTACTGATGTTGCGCAGTTCTCCTTATTCCTTCAGTGACTCTGTCTTTTTCCTGGCCCGCTTGGCCTCGACGAGCTCCATCATGCGCGCCTGTTGCCTTGTCAGAGGTTGTTGCCAGAACGCTTTCGTTTCTTTCTTTGGCCTCGTTCTGGTCAGCAACACATTTTCAGAGTCCAAATGACGTAGAGAAGGACGGTCGAGTGGGTTGGGCTCCACTTTTTTATTTCCTTTGTCGTCCTTCTTTATTTCAGAGTCTAAATGACGTAGAGAAGGACGGTCGAGTGGGTTGGGCTCCGCCTTTTTTCCTTTATCGTCCTTCTTTCTTTCCGTTTCTCTTTCATTTTCTTCTTCCTCTGCTGCTTCACCTTCTTCTTCTTCTTCTCTAGATTCTGTGGATGCTCGTCTATCCTTTTTCTTGCTGTCCTTTCTCTCTCTAAACTTTTTCCATTTTTCTCTGTTCCTTATCTGCCTCGGGGTCAATGCTACAGCACCTCTTTCTTCGTCCTGTGATGTCTTTTCAGGAGTTTCTTTACTTCTAGTAAGCTGTTTCATTAATTCTGGTGTACTTGAGGCAGGTGGATGACCTTGTTGTAGGACAGTTTCGGATAAACTTGGTAAGGTATCAGCAGTGGCGTCAAAGAATCTTCCTATCTCATCAGTGACCTCTCCGAATATTTCCTTGGTTTTCTGAAACATTCCGGATTTTCTTTCAGGAGACGCCGGGATTACAGTTGCGTCTAAATCGGGTACTGATACGAAAGAATCTTCTTGCTCAGACTGAGAAGCAGAAGAATCCTGTTTTTCTCTAGATTCTCTCTGTTTCTTTAAGATAGATTTTACTGCTTGCTTGTCTACTGGATGTTTATGGATTTTGGAACCCAAAGTTTTCCTGCGGGTTTCTCCTCCAGTTGTAGTTGTTAACAAAGCAGTTTCTTCGTCGTCTGTCTCCCACTGTTGTTCTTCAGAACCTTGTGGACCCTCCCATTTCCATTTTGGGGCTAAATCTGTTGGGTCATCTTCATCCAGTACTTCTAAAATATAATCTGTCTCCCACTGTTGTTCTTCAGAACTTTGTGGACCCTCCCATTTCCATTTTGGGGCTAAATTTGTTGGGTCATCTTCATCCAGTACTTCTAAAATATCTTTTTCTTCTGAAGGTGTTGGCGAGGGAACTGGTGAAGACCGTCGTATCTTATACGGTCTTACGTAACTGATGTGAATTACGTCTGTCCAATCCGGGTTCTCGTCATCTTGTACCCTGATGACAACCGGGTTTATTTTATCGATGACGCTATATGGTCCTTTGTATTTCGGAGACCATTTTCTGCCTACGAAAGTGGCAGCATCATGACGTCGTATCCATACCTTGTCACCTAGCTCGTAATTGGCACCTTTTTTGTGGGTATTTATTCTATCTAGGTACGACGCCTGATTTTTCCTGATTGCTTTTTGAGCACGGTCGCGTATTACTTCGAATTCCTCCTTTCAACTCTCATTTTTGATTTCGTCGAGCTGAGCCTTGTCCATATACATTGGAACCCAGTAATTACGAGGTTTCATTCCAGTAACTACTTCGAAGGGCGAGGCCTGTAAAGCCTCAGTAACTGATGTGAATTACGTCTGTCCAATCCGGGTTTTTGTCATCCTGTACCCTGATGACAACTGGGTTTATTTTATCGATGACGCTATATGGTCCTTTATATTTTGGAGACCATTTTCTGCCTACGAAAGTGGCAGCATCATGACGTCGTATCCATACCTTGTCACCTAGTTCATAGTTGGCACCCTTTTTGTGCGTATTTATTCTGTCCAGGTACGACGCCTGATTTTTCCTGATTGCCTTTTGAGCACGGTCGCGTATTACTTCGAATTCTTCCCTTCGACTCTCATTTTTAATTTTGTCGAGCTGAGCCTTGTCCATATACATTGGTACCCAGTAATTACGAGGTTTCATGCCAGTAACTACTTCGAAGGGCGAAGCCTGTAAAGCCTCGTGCTTTGACGAATTATGAACCCATGCGGCGAACTTTAATAGTTCGTCCCACGTCTGCCTGTTATCCGGGTCCAAGTACAAAGCTAGATACTCATGCAACTCGCGATGGGCTCTTTCGTTTTGCCCATTTCCTTGAGGTCGATACGCGGTAGTTGTGGTAGCTTGTGCTCCTATAAACTTTGCCATATCCCTAAATATGCTGCTCAGGAAATTAGTCCCGCGGTCCGTCAGTATTTTCTTAGGTGGCCCAAATAACCATATACATTGGAACCCAGTAATTACGAGGTTTCATGCCAGTAACTACTTCGAAGGGCAAAGCCTGTAAAGCCTCGTGCTTTGACGAATTATGCACCCATGCGGCGAACTTTAATAGTTTGTCCCACGTTTGCCTGTTATCCGGGTCCAAGTACAAAGCTAGATACTCATGCAGCTTGCGATGGGCTCTCTCATTTTGCCCATTTCCTTGAGGTTGATATGCGGTAGTTGTGGTAGCTTGTGCTCCTATAAATTTTGCCATATCCCTGAATATGCTGCTCAGGAAATTAGTCCCGCGGTCCGTCAGTATTTTCTTAGGTGGCCCAAATAGGCATACCCAATCGCTCAGAAATAATCTGGCGGTCGTTAGAGCTGACGCTTCTCTCATAGGAGAAAAGACTATCCATCTGGACAATCTGTCCTGGATCACAAGAATGTATCTATTCCCTTTGGAGCTGCTGGGGACTGGTCCCACTACATCCATGCTTACCTCTTCGAAACATTGTTTCGGTACGCCCGTTGTCATATACGGCGTTCGATGGGCGTAGTGTTTGTTCGCTTGACAGGTTTTGCAGGTTTTGATGTAATCACCTACATACGTCTCTAGGAAAGTTTCTAGGTTCAGTGGTGATTCTATGTTTCAGATTTTTGATTTTGTTTTCCAATTCGGTATTTTTTGTCTTCAGCAAACTATATAAGGCACCATCAATTGTTGCATCGGGCGGAGCCTCAGCTTCAATGTGATTAGAAACCTTATTTGTAATAATATCAGACTGCGTTACCAAATCTCCAACGTCTATTGAGGCTTCTAACGTCCAATAACCGTTAGGTACACAAATCGGATACATTTCTTCCAATACGACACCAACGCTTCCCGGAAAGTTGCGTATGGGGGACGTCTTATCAAATCTATTTAAATTCGATGACGTACCTTTGTCGTTGATTGGGATTTCCTTAATCGTGAGGGAATTCGACACATCAAATAATAATATACAAATATACATTTCCACTATCTTTCTATACACTTCCATAATTTCAGTAATGTCTGAACGTTGTTTATTCCTTGTCGGTTTACTGCGTACTGATGTTGCGCAGTTCTCCTCACTCCTTCGGTGACTCTGTCTTTTTCCTGGCTCGCTTGGCCTCGACAAGCTCCATCATGCGTGCCTGTTGCCTTGTCAGAGGTCGTTGCCAGGATGCTTTCGTTTCTTTCTTTGGCCTCGTTCTGGTTGGCAACACATTTTCAGAGTCTAAATGACGTAGAGAAGGACGGTCGAGTGGGTTGGGTTCCACCTTCGTATTTCCTTTGTCGTCCTTCTTTCCTTCCATTTCTCTTTCATTTTCTTCTTCCTCTGCTGCTTCACCTTCTTCTTCATCTTCTCCTCTGGATTGTGTGGATGCTTGTCTATCCTTTTTCTTGCTGTCCTTTCTTTCTCTAAATTTTTTCCACTTTTCTCTGTTCCTTATCTGCCTCGGAGTTAATGCAACAGCACCTCTTTCTTCATCCTGTGATGTTTTTTCAGGTGTCTCTTTGCTTCTTTTAGTAAGCTGTTTCATTAATTCTGGTGTGCTTGAGGCAGGTGGATGGCCTTGTTGGAGGACAGTTTCGGATAAACTCGGTAAGGTGTCCGCGGTGACATCAAAGAATCTTCCTATTTCGTCAGTAACCTCTCCAAATATTTCCCTGGTTTTTTGGAACATTCCGGATTTTCTTTCAGGGGACGCTGGTATGACTGTCGCGTCTAAATCGGGTACTGATACAAAAGAGTCTTCCTGCTCAGACTGAGAAGCAGATGAATCCTGTTTTTCTCTAGATTCTTTCTGTTTCTTTAAGATAGATTTTACTGCTTGTTTGTCTACTGGATGTTTGTGGACTTTGGAGCCCAACGTTTTCCTGCGGGTCTCTCCTCCAGTTGTAGTTGTTAATAGAGCAGTTTCTTCGTAAAGAACCTTCCTATTTCGTCAGTAACCTCTCCAAATATTTCCCTGGTTTTTTGGAACATTCCGGATTTTCTTTCAGGGGTTGCTGGCATGACGGTCGCGTCTAAATCGGGTACTGATACAAAAGAGTCTTCCTGCTCAGACTGAGAAGCGGATGAATCCTGTTTTTCTCTAGATTCTTTCTGTTTCTTTAAGATGGATTTTACTGCTTGTTTGTCTACTGGGTGTTTGTGGACTTTGGAGCCCAACGTTTTCTTGCGGTTTTCTCCTCCAGTTGTAGTTGTTAATAGAGCAGTTTCCTCATCGTCTGTTTCCCACTGTTGTTCTTCAGAACCTTGTGGACCCTCCCATTTCCATTTTGGGGCTAAATCTGTCGGGTCATCTTCATCCAGCACTTCTAAGATATCTTTTTCTTCTGAAGGTGATCTTTCTGTTTCTTTAAGATAGATTTTACTGCTTGTTTGTCTACTGGATGTTTGTGGACTTTGGAGCCCAACGTTTTCCTGCGGGTCTCTCCTCCAGTTGTAGTTGTTAATAGAGCAGTTTCTTCGTTGTCTGTTTCCCACTGTTGTTCTTCAGAACCTTGCGGACCCTCCCATTTCCATTTTGGGGCTAAATCTATCGGGTCATCTTCATCCAGTACTTCCAAAATATCCTTTTCTTCTGAAGGTGTTGGCGAGGGAACCGGTGAGGACCGTCGAATCTTATACGGTCTTACGTAACTGATGTGTATTACGTCTGTCCAATCCGGATTTTCGTCATCCTGTACCCTAATGACAACTGGGTTTATTTTGTCGATGACGCTGTATGGTCCTTTGTATTTTGGAGACCATTTTCTACCTACAAAAGTGGCAGCATCATGACGTCGTATCCATACCTTATCGCCTAGTTCATAGTTGGCACCCTTTTTGTGGGTATTTATTCTGTCCAGGTACGACGCCTGATTTTTCCTAATTGCCTTTTGAGCCCGATCGCGTATTACTTCGAATTCTTCCCTTCGACTCTCATTTTTAATTTCGTCTAGCTGAGCCTTGTCCATATACATTGGAACCCAGTAGCTACGAGGTTTCACACCTGTAACTACTTCAAAGGGTGAGGCTTGTAAAGCCTCGTGCTTCGATGAATTATGCACCCATGCGGCAAACTTTAGCAGTTCGTCCCACGTTTGCCTGTTGTCCGGGTCCAAGTACAAAGCTAGATACTCATGCAACTCGCGATGGGCTCTCTCGTTTTGCCCGTTTCCTTGAGGTCGATACGCGGTAGTTGTGGTGGCTTGTGCTCCTATAAACCTTGCCATATCCCTAAATATGCTACTCAGGAAATTAGTCCCGCGGTCCGTCAGTATTTTCCTGGGTGGCCCAAATAGGCATACCCAATCACTCAAAAATAATCTGGCGGTCGTTAGGGCTGAGGCTTCCCTCATAGGAGAGAAGACTATCCATCTGGACAATCTGTCCTGGATTACAAGGATGTATCTATTCCCTTTAGAGCTACTTGGGACCGGTCCTACTACGTCCATGCTTACCTCTTCGAAACATTGTTTCGGCACGCCCGTTGTCATATAAGGCGTTCGATGGGCGTAGTGCTTGTTTGCTTGACACGTTTTGCAGGTTTTGATATAATCACCTACATCCTTTTCTAAATTTGTCCAGGCGAATTCCTGCCTGAGGGCATACGTTGTTCTATCTATTCCGCTATGTCCCATTGCCGGGGGATCGTGAAATAACGCGATAATGCGTGAGCGCAGAGAGGGCGGGACCCAGATGCGCTGGCCCTCTTTCTCCTTTTTTATTATCAATCCCTCTTGCCTACTGTAATGCTCGCCTGAAGGGGCGTTGCTCACTTTCTCTGTCTCTTTCGCGATGAGGTCCCTAGAAATGTATGGCAATAGATCCGTTCTCTTGAAAGCGGGTGATAGGTACGCGCATAGCTTCTTAACTTTCTCTGGTGGGAATCTACTCAAAGCATCCGCGTGCGGTATACTTAACCCTCTTTTGTATTCTACAGTGTATTCGTATTCGTTAAGGGCCATAAACCATCCGATGGCTCTCCTGCTGTCGCTGTTTTTCTGTCGGGCCAAATATGGAATCGCGATGTGGTCCGTTCTAATTTTAAATTTATGTCCCCATAGATATGATCTAAACTGGGAGACTCCATAGTATACAGCAAGGAGTTCTCTATCGGTATTGGAATATCTAGATTCCGCTCCATTTAAGGTTCTAGAAGCGCATCCTATAAGGACTTCTTTCTTGTCCTTCTTTTGAGTCAGGATTGCTCCTATGGCATGCCCTGATGCATCTGTCGTCAAAATAAATTCTTTGTCGAAATCGGGGAAGGACAGGATAGGGGCGTCTAGAAGGCATTTAGTCAGGCATTTCTTTGCCTCTTCTTGTTCTTGACCCCAATTAAATTCCGTGTCCTTCTTCAGTAGGCTATACAAGGGTCTCGCCTTTGTTGCGAAATCCTTGATATATGATCTAAAATAACCTACCAGACCAAGGAATGCTTGAACGCCTTTGATATTTTTGGGCGTGGGGAAATTTCGAACGGCATCAGTCTTTGCTGGATTTACTTTAATACCCTCGTTACTGATCAAAAACCCAAGATACTCAATCTGTGTCTTGAACAGTTGAGATTTGGAGAACTTTATTTTTAACCCAGATCTATTTAATCTACCAAGGATATCCTCCAAATGGGTCACGTGTTGTTTGGCTGTTTTAGAGTAAATCACTATGTTGTCAACGTAAATGTACGCATAGGATCCTAAACATCCATCCAACATGAGATGCATTAAATGTTGGAATATGCTAGGGCTATTTTTTAGACCCATAGGTAACCTTACGAATTCGTAATGGCCCATGGGGGTGGAAAAAGCGGTTTTCCATCGTTCGTCTTCTCTAATCTTAATATTGTAAAACCCGTGTAACAAATCGAGGGCAGAAAAGAATTTTGCCGATCCCAATTCCTCAAATATTTGACTAATTCTTGGTAAGGGATGAGGGTCCGTTATCACATGCTCGTTAAGCTTGCGAAAGTCGACTACCATCCTCCATCCTCCATCTTTCTTCTTGACCATTAAGGTCGGGCTATTATAGGGAGAAGTGGAGGGTTGGACGATTTCATTGTCGAGGAGATCCTCAACATACGCTCCTAACAGGGATCTCATCTCGTAAGGGATGGGATACTGTCGGGTGTAAACCGGGGAGTCTGTGTCGAGAGGAATATCTGCCTCGTACATGGGGCACAGTCCTAAAGGATGAGGGTCTGTTATCACATGCTCGTTAAGCTTGCAAAAGTCGACTACCATCCTCCATCCTCCGTCTTTCTTCTTGACCATTAAGGTCGGGCTGTTATAGGGAGAAGTGGAGGGTTGGACAATTTCATTATCGAGGAGATCCTCAACATACGCTCCTAACAGGGATCTCATCTCGTAAGGGATGGGATACTGTCGGGTGTAAACCGGAGAGTCTGTATCGAGAGGGATATCTGCCTCGTACATGGGGCACAGTCCTAGCTGGTCAGATTTTTTCGCCAGCACATTACGATATTTAAGCAGCATTTTCCGGACTGTCTCGATGTATTCTGAAGGACACTCAGACGATTCTAAGTTTTCGTCTATGAGTTGTTCTAAATTTTCCTTCTCTAATTTCCCATGTATTTTATCTCTGTCGTTCTTGTCCGCTGCATTCTTGGATGTTTTGTAGATTTTCTTTTTGGTCTTTGTCTTTGTCAAGGTGGCCATTTCAATACCGTTGACGGATCCGATGCCAACCGTCATGCGCGGGGTAACTAGTACATCCCGGTCAGTGACGTTTAAACATAAAATCCTGATGTTTCCCCTTTGCACTTTCGATAAACTTTTCGCGACAATTATACCCCCATTCTGGAAATTATCTACTACCGAGACGCGAAGCTTGAAATTTTGCATGCCAATCACCGAAATTGGACGATCGCCGATATACATTTTGGAATCTTGCAGCCCGGTCTTTGTTTTTCCTGTTTCTTTCCTCCCAATTCGGGAGGAAGAAGTTGGGAACCGACGTGATCATTGAGTTATCACCAGAAATAATCACTGATATAAACGGTAATTTGATTTTCATTGGAAGCGAAATTCTTTATGATTTTTAAAAATTATTTTTTGTACCTAGTAGGGTTGGGATTTAGGACCAAATGAGCGAAAAGGCAAATTTAATTTGAGAAAAGATTTAGGACCAAATGAGGGAAAAGAGAAATGTAATTTGAGGATATATTTTTTTTTTTTTACATAGACAAACGGCTCTGATCTTCGCCGGAAAATTCTATTCAATCGAAGCAATTTAATTCGCAAGGATTTTTTAAAGTTAACACGCGCTTTTCGGGGATGAACTTGTATATCAGAATAGTTGTAAACAAAAAGATAATTTCTAATTATTCACTTCCCCGCGGGGGAAAAATCAGCAGAAATAAATTATTGGAATTATGGATCACGGAGTACATATTTCTTATTATTTTAAAGACGATTCCCGCTAAGAAAAGAAAATAGTTGATCAGCTTGCGTCAGTTGAATTTTTTTCTCTTCATAATGCAGGATTTTTTTCTTGAGCGTCTTTTCTAAATGTGCAACAATTTTTGAAGCAAAATATCTGACGATCATGGCCATTTTTCCGCCGTGTTTTCTAAACTGCAACTCGCACTCTTGAAGCAAAGCATCATCAAAATTTGCAGAAACACAAATTTCCCCATGAACTCGAATTTCATTGGCTGCTTTATGCCGGCAAGAAGGACCAGACACTGTTTTCTTCTGCTGGACGAACAAAAATGAAATGCGTCGCAGGAAGTTCCCTTCTGTGATCCAAAGCCCAGAAATGCCGATCGATAGGTCAAAGCAGGACGCGACAAATAAGATAGTTGTTTTTTTTTTGTGGTATTTTATGGAGTGATTTTCGATGACGAGGAATCAGAATCGATTCAAGTGAAATATTAATTATCCCAGTGAAAAATTAATTCCGGCCGGCGAGTTTCTGAATAACGCACGATGTAGACCTCGGGTCGATATGCGACTCATTAACGGCATGCGCCAACTTCAAGAGGACAATTATATTTTTCGGTACTACAATATAAAAGCGTTTCCGTGGGTGTTTTCAAATTATATTCATTATTATTCAAAAGATTTAATCACAATAATGATGCTTAATTATAATCCTGTCTATATAACGGATTCGTATCTCAAGCTTGAAAATATTTCAGCTGATCCGTCGGTTGGCAGAGGAAACTCCAAAAGAAAAACAGGTCAGATTAATTATCAGGAGAAATTCATAAAACCATGTTTACATGCGTTTTTCCTTGCCAAAATTTCAATTTTCTTGTATCATCATCGTCATCCTCATTTAGGTTTCATAATTTTAGCATAATTTTCTCTGAAGAATTTTAGGGCTTACTTCGGAGGCATATTTTATTTTCAGGTTGATAGTGCATCAAAATTTGTGCATTGTAGTTCGAATTTTGGTGTTTAAAAGTGATGAATTTGAATTAATTCTTAATCTAGGAAGGTAGAGTATATACTTGGAGCTATTTCCGCAAATATTTAAAACCCTTATTCAAGTATACGCGAGCTTCATTTTGCAAAAACGGGCAAGTTTAAATATTTAAAAAAGTACTTTACTGAAGTACTGTATAACAATTCTCTCTGAAAGGTAATCTCGAAATGCATAACAGTATTGAAAGCATGCAACAATGACGATATTCGGGTTCACTTGCAAATCGAGTAATGTTTACATATACGCAGAATCAATGTAATGACCTGAAATTATAAAAAAGGGTCTGCAAAGGATTCAGCTTTTTTTTCGTGCGCAAAACATAGAATTCCATACTTTTTATTCTCAAAAATACTGCGGACAAGTCCATGGAAAACGATCAGAATTTTCAGCGGAATCCGTTTTTTATCTATTACAGCTGTTGATTTAGAAAATAATTTCCAAATCCTTCTCGGATTGACTTTTTTTTCGGGCACTGTACTAGCAAGAAGAATCTTCCAGAAATTCTGTGAAAGCCGGTAGTACGTGACAGGCGAGGTCAAAACGATTTGCAGCAGTTATTTTCCCAGCTCTTCCCCAGCACAGAGGGCTGTCATCCATGCTCAAAAGCAAGATGTCGTCGTCATAAATAAAAGATTCCACATTGACCCGAACATTGAACGAGAATTTCGCCTCCAATGGACCGTTTCACGCAGCACGCTCGTGAATTCAACAATGACCTTATTTATCGCGACTTGATGCTTCAACAAGTTAGCCTAGCTTCTCGTCTCATCATCTATATTCAATCTAAAAACATGTTTTGGAACAACCTTGTTTAATCGGAAATAATGCTGTTATCCAAAAACTATTTTACGAATGAGGAATCAACGATGATCAGTCGTTGAGAACTCTTTCTAATAATTAAAGGAAAAAAGGGGATCGGAGATTTAAATCGTTTTCCGCGACTTTCACTTAAAAGGGTCACGCGTAAAGTGAAGGGTGTTGTGGTCGTAAATATGACTACAATGCCCAGTTTTTTCGGGGGGGGGGGAAGGTGGCAAAAAAAAGTCAGGATGCGTTATTTGGTGGCTTCTCGCATTTTATCGCGTTTTAGATTCGCATGTGGAAAGCGTGATTGCATTTGAAGTTCTAACCAACACCATCCTTTTGAAAATAAATTGTGAAGCATTCTTTTAGAAATGTAAAAAATTAACTTTGAAAAATCCGATTAAAAATCAATTTCACTCGTTTCTTTGATTCAGGATCACGATCGCAATGCGGAGTAGTGATATTTTTTCACAAAATTTCGTTAGATTGCAGAAATTAAGCCCGTTATTGAAATAAGAAAAAAATCAACGAACTCCTCAGATTCTGTAAAAGAAGGATTTAATGAAATTTCGTCTTAAGTTCAAACGAAAAACTGACTTCATTTTTGAGACCCACGAAAACGTGTACCAAAACTGTTTTGTTGTTGTTGTTGGAAAACCAAGAAATCATCGCATTGAATTGAAAGCATAAAAATGAAACAAATACTGTAATGTATTCATTCCGTCAATTTTCCGAAAGATCTTCGTTAAATTTTTGTGATATTAAATTCACATCCTGTTGACGATGCATTTTCATGTTTTGTGCGAAAAAGATTTTTACTGATTTTTTCAGGATTTTTTCGATCACAATAAAAGACTCTGAAGTATTCTTCAAATTCTAATCGTAAAGTACGTTTCCAAAATGCATCTAAACCGACGGTGATTTCTGGAACAGCATTCCTCAAGGAATTCTCGTCAAGAATTCATATACAGTAAGTAATTTTTTTATATATTTGAACTGATTTGCGGTATCTTTAATTGAAACGGGATCATACGCGAACTATGCGACCCACATTTCGCAGAAAACCTGGGGGAAAATTAAACTGTGTCGATAACTCAAAGAAAAGTTTTTGTCTTTTTCGCTATCTTACAGCATGTGGAAAACCTGAGCGTTTGACGTCAAGTGTGAAGATAATCTCAAACTTTAAACTCTTATCTTCGGTTTCGATGTTCAAATTGAGTAAATATGCTTTGTTTCGTTTATGCTTTACTATGGAGAAGATTCGTTTCGTGGGAATGGAATTTGAGACTGGATTCAAACGGCTGCGATATGTGGAATACAATTGAAGAAGAATAATCAAAAATCGTTGCTGCTCTGGAAGTAAAATTCGCGTGAATTGTTCGGTCGAAATCTTCACTGGAAACAAATTTAATTTGCAAGATGCGATATGAACGAAAATAAGAATTGACTACGACAGACACGAACTGACAATAAGATTCAAGCTATGCACGTTTTTGCTTCATGAAAATGTGCGGCTTTTTCTAATGCTGCATTTTCGAACTGAAACACCTTTATTATTTCGCCTGGTTACACATCCTGTATTCGGTAACTTATTCCTTTTAAAATCAAAAGGAATAAGACAGATGAGCAGAAGAATTATTTTAGGAAAACTGCTCTTTGAGATTTTGAGGTTAGTCATTTATTTTTTCTGAACGATTCGAAATTCGAAATCCATTCGAAATTTACCAGATTCCATGCAAATATAGTTTAATTTCAAAATGCAAAAATATCGGACCCGCCATATACATCTTTTCATTATCATCGCCGAATAAAGGATAGCATGATCAGAAGAAGTCATTGCTTGTCAACAAGGAGTCAAGGACATTAGTTTTCTCAATTTTTGGATTTTTGATTCAATGTATACAAATTGAACTGGAGTTTTGAGTGGTGCATGCTGTGCATTCAACAAATATGTTGCAAACAATAAAATGTGTTCGAAAAAGCGTGCGAACTCTTCATTAAATCAACCATTTTCAGCGTGTAAAAATCATCCAGTTCCAAAGCAAACTTCATGATCGGAAAAGCTAATTGAAGACACGAAAAAAGAAGCCCATCATATAAGCAATGATGTTCTTTTTTTCGACTGAATACGGTAACATTTTCTCTGCGTAATCTTCCTTCAAGTGGATAATAGCATATGACGAGTTCAGTTTTATTCCGTTTTTTTGTAGTACTATACAAAGTGCTCAACGCAGAAGAGTGTACTGTATTACTTGATGAGAGGAAATTGAAAAAATAAATGTGCGGAATATTATAATGATCTCACAGCTCGGATTCGGGGAACGGTTTCCCAGGTGTTTTCCCTGCAGCAGTTACAGCCCTAACGAATTCGGGATCGACACCTGCGACGGGCTTGTGTTGCATCTGTTGCTGTTGGACACCAGCGTCGATGTTTGTCGTCCGCAGAACGACACCTTTGTAAAAAGTCTAGGAAATGTGTAATGGAAAATAAATAATAATTCAATAATGTGAACAACTCATGCAGGATTTTCGGGACCCGAGAAAACCGGAAGGACATATGAACATCGAATAAAACTTTGTGGCGCAATAATTCACGTTGCTTCATCGTTTGAATGCCACGCAAAGCGCTAAAATCCACGCATTGAAGACACAGGCCCCTTGAAAAAGCACATATGTTGTGGAGAGAAATCAATAAAAAAAAAAGTTGTCAGGCTTGGCGAAAGGGTTTCTTTTTTTTTTCTCCTTCGAATACGTGTTCAAAATAATTCACATTGCGCCTTGGTATTCTTGTTCAGCTAAAAACGCAAACACACATGTTTTCCAATTTTTTTCCAATTCAAAACCGCTTTCAAAATAGTTCATGCTTTTACCTTCTCGTATGTGTATAATTAATTTCCGTTGAATTTGAATGCGTAACACCAGATTTCAGATAAGGAAATGGAAAGGCTATTTAAATTATTTTAGTATAGTTCTAGAATTTTCAGGAAATTTTATAAATTCATATGATCAAGGTTCAACAAAATTCTCAATTCCACAACACAGCACAGTACAATATTAATTATTACCTGGGCAATGAAATAGTTTTCTGCAACAGGACTATCAAATGCTAATGGTAATTGAAAACAAAGTTTTTAATTGCTCAAGGCGCTCTTGAGAAGATATTTAAGTATGAACCATCAAATGACAAGATAACACAGAAATTCCTGGAATTTTCGAAGATAAATGCTTGTTGAAAGGTTCCCTCATGATTTTTTTTAATACTTCATATAAAGTCGTTTGCTCCATTTGTATTTTTTTAGGCTTTGGATGATCGCCAGATATAGATTTTAATTTCACAGGAAATTGTGATCTGAATCTGTCGTTGATCTACGGAAAGAATAAATCTTTTTCCGAAAATTCCAACAGCCCACTTGGTTCCACGGGTTCACGTTGAATTTCGGCAGAGAGTTAATGGAATTGGCTGCCAAAAAGCACGAATTCCTGATTCAAGGCTGTATTGTATTGAAAATGAAATTAAAAAAATTATATATATATTGTAAATTCACGCCAGGAACGCATTATGAGTTACTTTGAAATAGAAAGGTATAAACTCCTTCACCAGCAATTATGCTTTAGTCCATTCGATAAATTATCGTCGATTTATCGCGTTATTAGAATGGTCGATAATATACACCAGTTTTTTATTCTGCTCAAAGAAATTGAAGAATAATTTTCCAATGGCTGCACTGATGCAAAGAAAATTCGTTGCAGTTGGGGGACGAAAGCCAACTGTTCATAACCGACGTTGCGTCTGTGTATTTCCTTCGTCGCCACGACAATGCCAGACCTAAATTAAACGCGTTCGATGGCCGGTCAGAATGCTACTTTATCAGGTTAATATTTCAAAGGCTTTGCGTGTAATTTCTCTCTCTTTTTGCCATTGAGTCCTGTGCATATGTAGAACAGCCTTGGCATTGGCCGAGGCGATCGAGAAGAATATACAGTACTGTACACCTTACACCTAATCACGTATGTAGTTGCCAAAGAGCTCGCGGACATTGACCGCTAATTTTCTTGGCCCACTTTTTGGGTGCGGGTTGAAGTATTAAAGGGGTTTGATTTGAATGCTGTAAATAATCTCACTTTTTTTTTTCTTCGTGATAAAATTTGACTGGAAAAAAGCATCCACGCCATATTCAGGAAAATAAAGGACCTTGTCCACTCTAATGTATGTACAATGTGTTGGCTAAAAATTCTGATAAACACTTCGCATGCAAACCTTGGACCAGCTTGCTCCATAATGAACTAACACGTCAATCGCACAATATCCATCTCGGAAAATCGGAAGCGAAAAACTGACAACATTTTGAATCATCGCACATTGTTTCAAATTATGATCCATGAATATAAACTGCAATAATGTAATAATGGAGTATATACCTTCATCGTCCAATACATTATGAAAATACAGCCCAATATCGATAATAGAAAGAAATAAGTCCGGGTTTCCTTTCAAGGTGCATTTTTCCAGTCGCATATATTTCGAAATTTTCTGCTCAATAATTTCCATTACACGGCAATACTCATATTCGCCATGCATTAAAAAATCTTCGAAAGATGAATAAAAGAATTTTTTATTTATCCGTTTTTCAGCTTCGTCAGAGCAGTGATTTGTTCTTGTTCGGAATTTATGAAATGTAGACCACCTCCGGACTGATAATAGATAATATTGCGATACTGAGTTCCAGACAATGACGAGGCTGATTTCAAAATTTTTATCTTCGCTACATTTCAGCCAGAATAGGCAAAATTAGAAAACTGATGATGAAGTCATTGGATTCGTAAAAAAATCATTACTCCGCTCTTCAGCTTCTGGAGGCTATCCGCCATATCTCGGAAAATTGGAAGCAAGAAATCTGATAAAATTTTGAGCTATCCCGCATTTTTTCAAAGTTTTCTTACTGCATGATCCATGACATTTTCAACAGCTTAGAGAGAAATAACGAAGTGATATTACAACTTTACTATGCCTATATTGTATGAACAACATTTTGGTCAGAATTATAGATCACACTTGACAGAATAATAGCCGGTTAATGTGTTCAAACAGAGCAGACCTCATTTAAACTGCAAGGGGAAAATGATCCATTAAGAAAGTTAAAAAAAAGTCCTACATTCAGTCATATAAACATATCAAAAGTTGGCGTGAGTCGAAAAATAATCTTTTTTTTTTCGCGAAAAGCAATGGTTTAGCTTTTGAAAGACTGCGAGTTTCCGGCTTCCAAAAAGGCGGAGGTCATGCGAAAAAAACTCGATTGCGACGTCGGTTAAAAACTTCTACGAAGTAAGAATTTTAACGTCCTCAAAATCATTTTTTCTTTATTTTGCCAAACATCTGAAGGGGTGATTCACAAGTTTTTCACTACACCGATTTCCTGTCAAATTTGGCTGACATTGAGAGGATATGCAGCAGAGCTGAAAGATCGCCACACCTCAAAGAGAAAATAATGTCTATAACCACAAAAATCTAGCTGATAATTTTATTTGCATTTTAAAACCAGTTAAAAGCACTTGAAGCTTGAAGAAAACATCATGGCTTTTTACTGTTCCACTAACCACAAAATCGTGTGCAACTTGAAAGAAATGCTCAGCTCGTCAATTTTTTTTTTTTTTTTTTTTTTAGCGAGACTGAATACGAAATTTGCTCTAAGATATAATTTTCTCAGAGGAAATAAATCGGCCCAAAATCAGGGATTTGAATTTACTAAGATCCCTTGCAGTAGTCAAATATAGATACCGGTTTAAACTCTTTTTTTTTCTGATCCCATGAAGTTATACTGAAGACTCCAGCACGAAAAAAAACCAGGACTTCACTTAAAAGTACTGTCCTGTATTCACAGATTGTTGAACCAACTGCCCTCACACTTGACCTGTTTCTTTCAAGGCCTCCTGTATCCCCCCCAAAAAAAGAAAATTTTCAGTCACTCACCGACCAGAGACAAAACGGAGTATCCCTCGCAACAACAACAAAAAACCACACGATCACCAGCAGCAGCAGTACGTTTCACTCCAGTGTATCGCAGAGAAGTGTAGTCGTCAGTGTCGAGTGTCGACCGGAACGTGCTCTGAACGATATGGCTTTTCGGAACTTGGAATTGCTGCAGGACAGGATCGTGGCCGGGAATTGATTGCTCCCGCCAAAGGTCAGGCTTCATTCGCCAAGTCGGATAAAGTGACGGAGAAGGACAGCAGACGATGTCATCATGCAATAAAGCAAGTGACACGGCCACTGACGTTCGGTTCGTCGACACCCCCGGCAGCAGTATAATGACGACGACACCAGATGAGTATGAAGGCAAGATCACGTGTAGAGATTTTCAAATGAATGTAATAAAATAAAATAAAATAAGAGAAGAGAAGTAGAGGACAATTGTGAGGGGATATATTATACACAGATGGCAGGAGGTGTGCTGGAATAGTTTCCTGGACGACCTCCGCCGATTTATGTACGCCGGCGGATCCGGGAGCTGAAAATTTATACTCACGCCTGTCTTTTCGTGGTGTCAACCTTGCTGAGGTGTGTGAAGTGGAGTGGATGTGATACACGACACAATATCTCGTTGACAAACTCTTCTCATCCAAATGCGAGGGATATCTCAGGTCTTGTATACAGGATAAACACTGCTGTATATCTATATATAGGCTTTGTATAGTTGTGAGGAACACTCATGTTGAAAAACTGCTGCATTAATAAATCCAGTGGAAGAATTTCCTAATAATAAACAGAGAGCCCCTTAAGAAATTGAGATACTTTGAGAGCTTTTGTTCACAATATTCTGAGCCCAGCCGTGTCTTTGACCCTATTTCTCCAGGCCAAAAATCCCAGGCATCTGAAAATTGCCTGATCTCCAAGCATCGGCGTACTAGATCAAAGCCACTGCAGTAAATTAGTAAAAAAAACTTTTTTAAATTCCCAAAATTTACCAGTCATCCAGAGCAGCAGTTGTGTGTCCAAACTCAAAGGCTTGCTGAGAGGTTTTTGTGCATTGTGAAAATCTTCCGAGTCTTTACCTGACTTGGGACAAAATAGAAATACATTTCAATCTTTCATTCAATTCTGAGCCCAGCCGTGTCTTTGACCCTATTTCTCCAGGCCAAAAATCCCAGGCATCTGAAAATTGCCTGATCTCCAAGCATCGGCGTACTAGATCAAAGCCACTGCAGTAAATTAGTAAAAAAAAACTTTTTTAAATTCCCAAAATTTACCAGTCTGAGCCTTTAGCTGTCATCCAGAGCAGCAGTTGTGTGTCCAAACTCAAAGGCTTGCTGAGAGGTTTTTGTGCATTGTGAAAATCTTCCGAGTCTTTACCTGACTTGGGACAAAATAGAAATACATTTCAATCTTTCATTCAAAGATTCCACTGAGAATTCCTGGCCCCAGCCCCAGGCTGATTCTGTGATTCCTTTGACAAAGTAATCCTTTTGATCCACAGCAATCTTTATACATCTCGTGTCAAGTTAAAGTTATCCTTAACAACTCACTCACCTCAGTTTGCAGCACCTATAGGCAGTATAGGGGATAAGTGAATTCTTGATCTGCCTGGATTTTTGACTGCATGCAGCAGCGACATCTTTCTCTGTGTGGCGTCCAAAAATGAGTCCAATCTGGCATTACAACGCTGGTTTTGAGAAACTTGGCCAAGATGGCAATAATCGTGATTATTGCAGCAAAAAAGGTCCAATAAAAGAGAGACTTAGATAACAACGTAACGAAGGGAATAGGAACATCCCTAAAATTTTCTGACTCAAATAAGCATGTACACAAGAGTTGGAAGGTAAAAGATTGTTGGCCGATGTGAAACTTTTCGGAAAAAAAAGAAGCTAATGTCTCATCGTCGGGCTTTCAGAGGGGATGAAAATTCCTGAACCTTTCGGAACTCCCAATTTGTGGAATTTTAACAGACTCCACATTATTGCCTAACTCCAGTGACTCTCAGTCTCATGTGTATAGTATCTCCCTGAAATTCTGCTTCTCCTTATCTTTTCTCTTTGCTGCCTCCGGCAAGCATTATTGGGCTTTACGTTCGTGACAAAACTTATGCACTGCTGTATAAATGAGTTATACAGTATCTCCGTATTCCCTTTTCCTTTTTCTGACTCCGTGCATTTGAACACTCCGTTGTCTAGATTATTTCGGCCCGAATTTGCTGTCGCTGTCGATGTCGAGAAGCGTGAGTAACATGCTAGTGTCACATATGCACGGTCGTGACGTGGGATATCTTGAGACACTTATTGGCTGCATGGCGGGTTGATTGCCAACAACCCCGCAAGTGTTCTGGCGCCATGATGAATTTAAATAGTAAAACTTTATCTTTGAGATAAGTGGCGGGTTTTAAAAGTTCTGTCAACAAAATGCGACATGCTTCAAGGTGTTTAAAGTAAACATCAGGGATATTAAAGAATCTTTTGATAAGAACGAATTTTTTTTTTGGCTGTGATGTGCACAATTTTTAGGCTTATTTGAGTCAGAATATTTGGGGGATGTTCCTATTGTACGAAATTTCTTTTGACGGCAACAAATGCCGCCGTCTGCAGGGGGAGGACGGTGACTTGAAATTTAATCGCGCATCTCGGGATGCGCAGAAAAAAGATAAAAAGAGAAAGGAAAAGTCGTTCAAATTTGCTGTCGCTGTCGATGTCGAGAAGCGTGAGTAACATGCTAGTGTCACATATGCACGGTCGTGACGTGGGATATCTTGAGACACTTATTGGCTGCATGGCGGGTTGATTGCCAACAACCCCGCGAGTGTTCTGGCGCCATGCTGAATTTAAAAAAGTAAAACTTTATCTTTGAGATAAGTGGCAGGTTTTAAAAGTTCTGTCAACAAAATGCGACATGCTTCAAGGTGTTTAAGGTAAACATCAGGGATATTAAAGAATCTTTTGATAAGAAAGACTTTTTTTGGCTGTGATGTGCACAATTTGTAGGTTTATTTGAGTCAGAATATTTGGGGGATGTTCCTATTCCCTTCGTTACGTTACCTATGTCACGCTTTTGAACCTCTTTTGTTGCAATAATCATGGTTTTTGCCATCTTGGCAAAGATCCTCAAAATCAGCGCTGTAATGCCGGAGTGGACTCATTTTTGGACGCCACGCAGAGAAAGATGTCGCTGCTGCATACAATCAAAAATCCAGGAGATCAAGAGTTCATATTTAACCTATAGGTGCTGCAAACTGAAATGAGTGAGTTGTTGAGGACAACTGTCACTTAAAAGAAGATGAATAAAGATTACTATAAATAAAGCGATAACGTGGATCTCGTGTTCTAGACGATTTCCGAACAGGCGAGGTAATATAACGCGATTCTGAATGAATAATTCATTCTATGAGCGGGAAATTTCCTTTTTATTTTTTTCTTGATATGGGTAAGAATTTCCGTCTCGATTCGTGTAAGAGTGTAAGACAGTCGTTTGGCTAAGACGGTAAAACAGCGCGACTACAAATACAGTACTGTATTTGTCATTTCGAATAGCAAAGGTATTTGTGGGTTTCCATGAAAGGATTTTCAAATCTTAAAAATCCAATTCGTTTTTGCTCACAAAAAAACTATTGGCAGACCACAAAAAAAGGTTTTTCAACAGCAATATTGTATATCTGAAGCCATCTGTAATACTGTATCTCATGATGAAATTTACATGAAAATGTATCTGTTGGGGAACCAGAACTTAGGTGCATGGACATTAGGTTTCAGGACCTGAATTCTGGTCAAGTTTTCCTTTGTGCATCTGTTCCCAGGATGCACAACTTGTTTGATGCACATTTCTCCTGCCAATCACAGGCTGAGGGAAAAAGTTGGTGCCTTTTTCAGGTTAGCTGACCAAGGCATACAACAAAAACATGTACCCAGAATTCCCCATGAATCAGTCCTTTAACTTAGCTCTTAGCATAAACTTCTCCTGAATATCTTGCCGAAACCAATAATTCCCTTATTTGCACCAGTGCTTTCTGATATTCATTCATTAATTTGTCTGCACAAATTTGTGTGTGCATTTATTGGATGTGTTTTGTACTCATTTATTGTGATGCTTTATTTTTATTGTGCCTTGTTCTGTGTGGACTGTGATTCTTAATAAACTAGACAAAACTAGGGATATGTAATTAAGGTGCCCCATTAGTTACATATTCCTGGCTGAAAACTGACTGATGGTTGGGGGTGATTATTTATCTATATTTTCCACTGTGCTGCAGTGCTCTTTTTTGTTGGGAACCCTTGTGTCCTCTACAGTATCCCGCTGCGCGTAGGGCCGCACAACCCAGGTTTTGGCAAACGACAAATTAAAATTGTAGCCCACCATGCATAGAAATTTCAAATGTGGATTGAATAAAAGTTAGAAATGCGGTACTCTATGAAACAAAATTAAATAGAAAAAATAACATTTTCATGTTGAGCTAAAAATATGCACACTTATAGCTTTGACTTTTTTAAATTTTTTCAAGTAGATTGCGCTCCAAAATTCTAAAATTTGTTTAAAAAAACGGGACCTGACACGCTCAATTTTTTAAATATACAGTATTTCTAGTAAAAAAGGTAAGCCTGGTGCTAGAAAAAATACTGTGCAGCATTTCGACATTCTTGGCTCCGGAATATTCTCTGCAAAGAAGTACTGAACTGCTCTGAGCAACTTCGAACTTTACTTCACCACATCATCCAACACCGAATTTTTGTCCCCAGAAGAACTCGTGAGCAGTGGAAGGAAAAAATTATTCCTTCCAACTCATCTTCAGAACATGAGAAAAATTACATCAGAATAAAACAGCTTCAACAGCAAATCCACGACAACAATAAAAGGTCCAAACTGCAACAACAAACTCGCTCGCCTCGACGACGAGAGCCGCGAAACTTCAACGCCACAACATTTCAGAAAACAACAAAAAACAACAAGTACAAGTAAACATTCAACAACAAACAATCACGACAACCAGAAATTAAGAAAGCAGAAAATCATCCATGCAGTACGAAAAAAAAACCAAGTCGACAAACATCGCATTCCGCCCGACATTTTTCGTTATTCAAATGCTCGGAGGCCAACATACACGCGGTAACTCTGTCACCAGAAGCGAAGACTAAACCGCGTCCCTCATCGGCGATCTTCTTTGAATAGCAATTAAGCGAAATCAAAAATAAAAAACGAAAACACACAGCGATGAATTCAACTTCGAAAGAAAAACAAGTGACATAAAAACTGCTATAACTATAAATTCCTAATGCAGCAATCATTCCACTCCGCCCCGAATAAAAGGCCACACGTGCGCGGAAAAACGCTCCAAAATTGCGGAAATTCTCCTTTTAAAATTTTTTTTTTCTTTCCAGGACTCCCAGATGTTTTTTATTTCGGAAATTTTATCCGCTTCGAATGGCGTCATTCCTTAAAATAACAAGCTCACTTTTCGAATCCTCTCGCAATAACCTAAATAAACATTTTGGCACGAAGCTCGTCCGCAACTTGAGTCAAGTCACCTCGACACATGCCCGGCGCATATACACAGCAATCTCTGAGCCAAAATTTTGAGTGAAAAAAAAAATCGTCACTATTCGTCATTTTCACGACTGTGTCGAGAAAAATACTGCAGCAACAGAAAAAAAAGTCTTTCAACAGCAGAGAAAAAAATGTTTTAAATCTGTGGCAACTCCCGCACCGCAAAAAAAAAAAATTTGCGAACGCGAGGACTAGTTTTCGCCGTACAAAAAAAATATTTTCCATTTCCTCCAAAACAAAATAATATTCCCCTGTCACACGAGAAAGAACGACGGGTGTTCGTGAGACGTCCGAAAGCAAACTCGGACTGACAAAATCAATTCTAAAAGGCAAGTAATAATAAACAAATGTTAAACTTGAACAAGAAAACATTTCTCGTGCAAATAAGTAGGTAGTCATAACGAGTGATTCAAATGAGTGAGCTAAGCTTTTTCCGAATTTTTCCGAAACGTTGATTCTCGTGACCAGCAATTTAAAAATCAAAAGAGTTAAATAGCTTTTCCTCCAGCAAACTTTGCTTTAAAAGGAATTCCGGTGAAAATGTAATAAATGCGTCTCTTTTTCCTCTTTCGATCCTCAAAACTTTCTGGGTTCAAAAATGTTTCTTCAAAATTAACAATTTAAAATGCTTAGTGACCTTTTTACTAAGAGTGTTTCAGAAAGCTTAGCTGTGAAAATTTCCTTAATTCTAGAAAAAGGTAAAAATCTAGAATATTTCCCTCGCAAGGAAAAAAAACTTCAGAAGATCTTTGAAAAACACTTTAAGATGTATAATGAATTTTTCTTTGTCTGATCTTCCACATTCCAATAAATTATTTTAAGGAGACAAAAAAATGAGGTTTCGCAAGAAAATAATTTACTGTGATAGCAGAGAAAAATTCGCCTCTTAAATGTGTAAATTTCGACCTAGCAATCTACTAACTTCTTGCTATTATAATCTTTTTAAAAATTTTGGACCGAGAAAATATCCGAAAGGTCACGAGAAGCAGCGTTTCTAAAAAAAAAAAAACGGACACAAAAATAAACCACAAGAGACGGACTTGCTGATCTCTAATAGTCAAATCATGGATCAGTGTTGCAAAGTTTGCTTCCGATCGAACTCCACTTCATAGTTTAGGTAATCATCGATACCCCCGAGGTCCTGGCCAGTCACTGGGTGTGGGACATGGAATGCTTTCGCACTGCCGTACTTATTGCCGTACCCGAGCGGCGGCCCGTAATGAGGCGGCGGCTTGGAAATCAAGTACTGCTTCACTCGCCCTTTGCCGTACAAGTGGTCGTAGTGGGGCTGGAATTTGGTCGCCTTCTTCAGCTCCTTTTGGATCTTCGAAACACTCTTCTTCACTGTTTTGAGGCTCTCGTAGCCACTTGGGGTGTAGTATGGGTGGTAGTAGTCGTGGTCGTCAAGGTAGATCACCTTGGCACCCTTGTGGTATCCCACTGCGCAAAATAAAATTTTATTTTTCAAAAATTTCAAACAATGCCGCTCCGAAAAAAAAAATGAATTCATTTTCTATCGAGAATTCACGTGAATCCTGGGTGAAATTATTTCAGTGCAGATTTACCCCATATTGATGACCTTCAACAAAAATGTAGTCTGCTTTACACGACATATTATTTAATCTCCTGTTACGATGAGGCCATTTGTTGTCTTTAAAGCGTCGATATGTTTTCAATAATTACCGAAAATGTGGAATCATTTCTTAACACGTCAAAATCAGCCCTTTTTTGCAATGAAAATCAGAGGGTTTCCTGGAAAATCTGCAGTTGTTGCTTTTTTCCTTGGAGATGGAGAAAAATTCGTTGTACAGAGATTATAGGCAATGAAAATGAATTTTGGTAGTTAGACAGAATCTTTTAACATTATTACAGTCTAAGGCATTCTGCTGAACCCAAAAAATTCGTTGTATAGAGAAATTTGTTTTAGACAAGATCGTTGTCTAGAGAGAGAGAACCTGGATGATTTTCGAAAAAAAAAGGAATTGGCATCAGGGTTTCTTCGTTGATTACAAAAGCTAGGATGTGATCACAGCATGCATATTTTAAGACGGAATTCGTATTTTATGATTCTGAATTTAGGATTAACTTCAAAGCATGAGACTATTTTTTTCTGCAAGAGTCAAGGCAAAAAATCCTTCTAAACTTCATCCCCAATTCGGAATCACAGCATTAATTAATTTTATGATTTTCAAAATCAAATATTGAAGCGACATTTTCGCTCATCGCGTATATAGAGAAGAATTCTTCCGAATTTTTTTTTCGGACTTAAAAATGTTTAAAACTGGAAAATATTTGCTCAGCACAATTATAGAAAAATCTCATGAAGTTCTCTGACTTTGATTTCCAAATCGTTTTCTTCGTTTTCAGCAACAGATGAGCGATCCACACATAGGGTTGAAAGCCCCAAGATACAATTTACAGTGGAATTTTTTATTTCGGAAAAAATATTCCAGTTGGTTTTTTGTGCACTGAAACACGCTAAGGAAAATTGTTTCACCTTAAAAAGTGTTTTTCGGATACATTTTTTTAAAGGAAGAAAAACAAATAGGTATTTGCCTGCAGGGTAGAACTTGAACTTGTAGACGTAGTCGGGCTTGTTTTGATACACGGTCGGGGGCGGCGGTGGAGGCGGCAAATGAGGAACGAAGGGCACGTAGTTGTCCACATCGTTGTCCTCTATGATGATGGCGGCGTCATAGTCGCCGGGGTCGAAAGAGTCGCCGCCGGGATATCCGTAGCCGCCGGAATCGTCCCGCTCGTCAGACTTGCTGTTGGATTTCTTGTAACTTTCCCGGGAATCGCTGTTGGCCTTCTTATTGTAGCCTTCCCCGGAATTGCCAGCAGTGGTTTTCTTGTAGTTTTCCCCGGAATTGCCAGTAGGAGTTTTCTTGTAGGTTTCGCCCGAATTACTGTTGGTCTGGGTTTTCTTGTAGGTTTCACCCGAATTGCTGTTGGTCTGGGTTTTCTTGTAGTTTTCCCTGCTGTCGCTCGTCTGCTTGCTATTGTATTGTGGTGACACAGGAACAGGTGCTGAAAGCAGTTGTCCTGGTTGCTTGTTATTGTACGCAGGAGCTAATGGAATGTCATCGCGTGGGCTGTGAAATTTCACACAGAAATTAAAATCAGGCAACGATCCAATTTCTCGTTTCAAAATTCACGTCATATAACATATACCACGCCACAATCTGTAAAGAAAAATTGAGAACTTTCCACCCGCTTTACAAATCCGAAACTTTCTGCAACCCCTATCAAAAAAAATGGGCTCTTTTTTCGCACGCAAGCATGCAGCAAATTCTTGTTCTTCTGATGATGATGAATGGGCTCATATCATACATTTCAGAAAATATATACACCAGAATATTTCGTGGAGAATTTTCAAAAACTATGCATGAAACTGTTTTCCCATTTTACTGAGGGTGTTCTGAGAATTTTGATTGATTTGAATTCACAATGTATATTTCGAAGCTTTCAAGTAAATAATAGTTTTTCTCTCCGCAACTACAGAGTAACGAGTATAAACGACGACTCATCGGAAAATACACTATTCGATTAATCAACTTTTCTTTGCCAACCAACTTCGGATCTAAACGTTTACTTACAAAAATACTGAAACCGATATCTTGTTGGAAATAATCGTGAAAAGAGATTTTGAAATCATGCTCGAGAATATTGCTATTCATTCAGCATTATTTAAACGATTTTTGAACGTTGACTTGATTTCCCCAAAACTTTTAAGCACCGAACTCGAAGTTTGACAGCTGTCCTTCAATAACCGAAGGTTCTCTGGGCATAAAATCATAATAAATTATATGATTAAATTTTTTATCCCAATCGACAAACGGTTGAATTTCCACTGATAATCGGAGTATGAACCATCAAAACCGAAACCCTTTCTTGAACCATAATATTTGCACACAGTATTTCTCGTTGCATTCCGCTATCGACAATGTACAGTTTTCGCACATGGGAAAAACTGCAAGCGAAAAAATGATTTTAGTGGAACTTCAGCTGCTGAGTTCCATTCGCGAAACGTCCGCAAATAATGAGAAACCCCCCGAAAAAAAAGCCAGCAAAAAAATGCCGGTTTTTCCTGAAAGCTGAACAAGAAATCAGTAACGTCGTCAGAATTGAATGGTCATCTGTACACATAGTCAACAAAAAGGTTAGTCAAGTATGTTCATAATGAAAACCTTCAGTGAAAGTCCCAGTTTCACACGTCATGCAGTCAGTGTAAGTGAATGTCTTGTACCACACACGGGAAAATAATAATGAACACATGCGGTCTGGTGCAACGCTTCAACGACCGTGAAATTATGCGTGAGATAAAACTGTTTCTTTAAAAAAAAAATCTCACAAGCAGAAACATTTTTTTTTCTTTTTACAAAACAAAAAATATATATTGCGATTTGTACCCCGTAGAATCTTCGTGGCTGAAAAAATATTCGTCGTCGTCGTCGTCAGCAAAGGCCTGTTCGATGACTGAATGTCCCACGGAAAGCGGAGACTGGAATTCATTGCTGGCTCTGCTTCTTTCGTAGCTGGTCAAACCACCGCCGGATTTGAAAATCTCGTCATAATTGTTGTAATCCCCGTTTTGGGGCTCGTAAAAGGAGTCAGTTTCGCTGGGATCATTATTGACGTGATATTCTACACTCGATCGTGAATCAATGTCTGGCGAATGAGCAGAAGCAGCAGTAGCGACGTGAAGAAAAGTTTTCCGCTTTTCTGACGATGACGATTTCTCTGCTGTTGATTTCTGAGTTGGTCCTTGGTGAGAGAATTGGGACTTGATTGAGATCCTTTCAGAGATTTCATCATCAGGGACTTCAGGAGAAGATGCTTGCTGGACGTTGTGGAATACTGAAGGTTGATGAGCGAAGAGACTGAAGCTGCTGGACTCTGATGATGAGCTGCGATCAGTGGTTTGAGGCGAGGCTTGCTTCCTGCTGGCTGCTAATCGCTTTGCTGTGTCTGCTCGCACGAATGCCGCCAATTTTGCGCTGTTTTTTTCCCCCGCATAGATATTTTAAAATGTTTAAAAAAGATACATTTATGAAATAAAATGCGCTATTTGTCTCTCTGAAACGCTCCGAAAACGATCGACGGCTCAGAAGTCTTGTCAGAACCTTGACACAAAGTTTTCTCGTCAGCCAAATTTTTTTCAGTCAGCATTGTCTGAACTATTTTGACATCATTAATGTTTCATTATTGCCAAGAATAATGTCCGGTTAGCTCACGAACTGGCATTCAATAATGCAATTCCCATTCAGAATAATCCCAATATAGAATTTAAAAAATGTTTAAACCAAGAAAATCGGATTGTGAGGCCTGATCGATGTGACACTGTCACTCGGAAAATTTTTCAATTCCTCACGAACTCCGTGTTTTCTAAATTTCGAATAATTCGAGTTGACACGTAAGCTATTGTCGGAAAACTTTCGGATACTGTACTAATCTTTTGACAATAAAAGTACCTTAATTAATTCCTTCAACAAACTCTCGAGGGAGAAGCACACGACAGAACTGACAAAAACTTGTGAACCGATCCTCGTACGTACAGCCGCGTGTTCGAGCTGGAAAAAGTAAAAACTAGCTCCTTCTTCTTCACAAATCGATTAACAGATGTCACTCTATGGTGCATACGTCTCAGGAATTCGGAAGAACTCTGTCTTGAATGATATGTGAAACTTTTAGAACTCGACTACAGTATTAGTATTCCGAAGGTGGTACTTAAATGATCGATCCACAGGTAGATTACCGATACTCATTTCCGGAGTAAGTAACCGATTCTTGACGGACTCGATCAAATAATTTTCTTGGGTTTCTGCTGCTATGTTTCAAAAGCACAAGCACAAGTTCTGCTAACGTCGAAAAGCTGAATCCAGAACTTGACATTTTTCTCATGAATGTCCGTCGTTCTTCGTGGAAAACCTTGCAGTTCATACCGGAATACTGTATTGTATACAATTACGGTAGCGAAGACGTACGATGGAAAAGTACTGTACAATATTTGCAACATCCACTTCTCTGATTTAAATATTCCTTTACGAGAAGCGAAGTTGGAGACGTTAGCACAATTTTTGGTAGTGCGTTTAACACGTGTCTTTCTCGATGTGCCAAAATGAGTGAAATGTTTTGTCCGGAGCCTGCTTTTTGTAGATCTATAGAATACAGTATATACTGTACTATATTCGTTCACTTCAATATCTCCGCGAAAATGAAAATCCAAAACATCAATCCGGAGCCTTTCGTCGATCATCAATCACGCATTCATCCCGAGTATACCTTTTTTCGTCTCACTGCCTTACATTCACAAATTAATCCCGGAAGCAAAACTGTTCAACGAATAAAATGGGTAAGCGTCAGTCATCGGCCAAGTCAATGATCGTCAAACAGTGGATGAGTTTTGGATTTGAAAAAATAATCAGACCCGTCCAAAACTAGAAAATCCCTTATTACACAAATCGAACAACGAATCGAACGAAAATTCATCACGGGCTGCTGGGAATCACTGTCGTCGCTTTATTTCAGCGGCATATACCGATGATTATTCGCATGCCTTAATAACTACAGAAATTGAGGGGCTAAATGAGACGACTGATTTTTTTTTTTTAATTATAATGTCCCCTTTCTGTCAGGGTACCGAAAATAAAGCGCCATTGTGTAGGCCAGGACTTTTCAACCTTTCAAGTGTCACCGGTGGCTCTAAATCAAATAACGGATGTATTTTGTCATGCTTATTAAATTTTCCGAAAATCATGTTATTTATTTTCAGAAATTCGATCGCTTAGATTTCTTCGGTCTTCTATTTGCACAACATGTTTTGCTTTGCCTTTTTCCAAAAACATTCGAGTGACATATTCATCCTCTTCCATCCATTACTTGCCACAAATTTCCGTTCCTTGAAGAATTTATGTTCATATCGCAAATAATCTCGCGTACCATCTGACAGCTAAGGTGACTTGCGGGGAATTAAAAAGTTGAAAAGTTCTGGTTTACGGTACCAAAAATGTGAATGGTTCTGGTCTAGAATTAATAACGCGAAGTACCTTGGGGTTTACTCGGATTAGTACTTCTTTCGTTCTTGCTGTGAGCCAAGTACTCGGGTAAGACTGAATTCTACTCAATGATTTCTGATTACATTGGAGGAAATAAAATCACGCAACGCACCTCGCTTCACCAGATCGACGTTGACTTTGTTGATCAGTGCCTGCTAGTCCTGCCGAACAGCAAATCCAGCCAAGCAAGACGAAGCAAACAGCATGCCTTGCCTGCAAAATAAAAATAAAATTTGAAATGATCAAACGAGGAAGAAAACATTTATTCAAATTAATGGCCATCGAAGATCATCGAGGCGCCCAATGTCGAGACCTTGATCAGTCTTCCTGACCCGTGAAAAGTCACTTTCGATGCTTCACGAGTTTATTTTGTGCTGTATAGCATTTCGTATCAATTAATTAATATAATAAAAAACCGGATGATGGAGGCTTCGCGTAATGGACCGTTCATCCAAAGAACTTAGACTGTGGCACATTTTTTTCGATATCTGTTGAGGTAAGTTTCTCGTTGGGGAGAAACTTACCTCAACAATATCAGACCCGTTTCTTTGGATAATAAACTTCGCGAAGAAATATTTGTTCATTTTTAAAAATGCAAGCTCAACTGGCAAGTGTAACAGCGAATACGTTTTGCAAAAAAGCGATCAGAGGCTTCGCTTTTGGAATTATTGACTTTTTACAGCTTTGTTTCAATTGATTCGAGCATATATTTTTTTCATGTTGGAAACAAATTTATTCAATAATTTGTTCAATAACTTACAACGGGAATTCCCCGAGGGATCTTGAACATATTGACTATTCCATTCAGTTTCTGATCACTCGATAAATCGATATTAATCTTCTCTGTCAAACAGAGCCCAGAGTCACGAGGGAAATTGGCAAAATACGGTTACATCATGTGTGAAAAAAATTATAAATCTTTGACAAATCTGAAACTCACATGAGAACAGCTGGAGTATAATATTGGAACAAAGTAATCGAAGCAATATTTTGATTGTGAGCGCTGTATTTTGTAGTTAGAAATTTTCGTGGAAGTTTGCTGATATCGAAAATGTGAATTCATGTATTTTGTAAATACGCTTTTCAGAACAGAAAGATTTTTAAAAATCGATGAGACAAAAGATATTCCTTTCAAAACATATTCTTCGCTAAAATTCAAGTGATTGTCCAAACTATTTATTTATTCCTTCAACTGTGCAAATTCTGCCGTCTTTCGTCGGGCCGTGCGTGATAGGTGCAGCGACATTTTGCGAGTCAAAATCAAGGATGATTTTGCCGCATATAAAAGCTGGAATATTTTTTATCCCCCGTGTTACTTTCCTCCACAAAATGCAAAACTGTTCTCAGGCTTCAACTTGACATTTGCGTGACCAATTTTTTACATTCTCGCCCAGACCTCGAGACAAAAGGAATCGTGGCAGGAAGATAATTGTAATACTGTACCTGCGCTGGAAAGAAAAAATTCGATCTCAGCATTTGTATTCGAAAGAAAGATAGAATAAAAAGACCGGTTGATCTGGGATCGTCATTATTGATTGTCTCATGTGGGAAAGGGAATGTGGAACAAAAGTCGGTTACCCAGTTTTAAATCACTGCTGCTCCATTTATATTTCTTTCGTGCATTCCATTTTTCGTATTCATCCTTCCCACAAGAGCTCAAAATTTTTCCCCGGCAGAGTGTCCGCAAACATTGACATCAATAAAAGCTAAAATTGCGGACTGCAATTTTTCGCAACGGGACTTTCCGTTACTCGCGAAGTTTTTTTTTCTTTTCTTTTCATTTTCCTCTCAAAAATTTCGCCCACAGAAGCACGATGAATAAATAGAACAGATTTTTTTTTTCTTTTCGCGCGCACGAAATTTTCCCGCTCATTCGGAATATTTCGGATGAAGAAAATTACGCTTGTTATTCTTTCTTCGAAATTCCACCTGAGCATGAGAAGCCAGCTGTTCCAAAAATTTCAAAGCTCTCTCTCTCTCTCTCTCTCTTTGCGTGAAGAAAATACTTTCATGTGTTGCTCATCAGACTCGCCAGACGTTCGAGTGATTGCCCTAGAACTTCGATGCTATTTTTCATGTGGGTTCTCCACTCACCAACTGTTTTTTTTTTTTTTTTTAATTTCCTCTTCAATTTGAAATCATTCACCTTTTGATGCAGTCGTCAGCTGGTCGCCGATGTCAATAAAAAACTAGGAAATCGGGAAATCCTTTCGATGTGGCGTCCACGAAAAAAAAAAGATTGACCGAAAGAGAAAATAATGGAAGAAAATTGGAAATCCTGAATTACTTCAGCGATCACCTCCACTAAAAAAAAGCGAAATATTCAAACTCACTGGAATTGCCTATCGACTCATTTTCGATTTCGATCTTTCCGACAGATTCCTGTTATCCGCATGACGTATTTGAGTAAAAAAAATAAACTCGCCAGAAAAATTCGCCACATGCTTGATCATGGCGTCAAATGATTGGCGCACTAATTACGAAATTAAGTTGAGAATGGCCTCAAAATCGCACGGGAGAAAAATCTCGCTTAGTATGAAAATTTTCACAGAAACAACAATGTCACGGATGCACACTATAAGGATACGAATTATGTGATCGATAAACAGCTAATAATTAGTCGGAGCATATTGTACTTAATTTTAGTTCAATCTCTTACTTTATTTCCCTGGCTTATACGGTATCATGATGTAAAATGAGTCTAAATAAAGTATTTCGCACACTTGACCAATAATTACCGGAGTATTGAAGTTATCGATATAATGGGAGATACACGAAAAAAGAGAAATGGGTTCTGAAATATGCTTTAATGTGAATATCACAGGTCTCATTGTAACTCTTGATGGTAAGCTGCACCTTTCACCAGCTGGCCCAGCACAAGGCCAAGTACCAATATGTTTGTAAATTGAGTATATAAAGGGATTCCTCACCTGCAGTGGTCATCAGTGACTCTTTGAATGTCAAAGCATCATCACTTGCTGATTTCTGCAAAATCTACAGTTCACCTTGTTGATGCAATGGCTGGTGCACTTCAGATCATCAAACATCAGAAGGGTGGTGAAAAGGCATACTAAAACGGCTATTTATTCATGGTTAAGAGCACAAATGCCAAGTGCTGGAAATGTGCTAATGAAGAAGGAGATGAGACAAGAGGGCCAAATTGAGAATAAAATGACATTGACAGCATCAGTGACATTGAGGAAGAGGCTGCAGAAGGCAATTTTGAAGATGATTATTCAACAGTCATTTTGAGGACTAGTGAAACCAAGCAGCCCTCCTCAGAACCACCAAACACTGTTATGAAACTTACAACAACAACAAAAGTGGGGGGGGGGGGCTTTTGGCATGGTAACCACCAGCGACACTTGATATATATTTTTTAATTCCGGGATTTTCTCTGGTGGGGTTTTTGCGCTGAGCCCAAGGATGCTTCTGACGTTCGAAAAAAAAGAATGCGCACAACTACGAAAAGTGAGTAAAAATATCGAAGGGAAAAAACTGGCGTCAGCTGGATGATGGCCAGTAGCCGGAAATGCCGCCACAGGTGTCGACTTTGACGTTTCACCGTATTTTCCGCGCTCTGTACAAGTGTACAACACAACTGGCGCTCCTCTTGTCGTAATGCAGTGTACGAGCATTCGCCGACCTATACTCCAGATTAATTACTCTCTCGCCGCAAAATTACGCCAGAAACTATTTTTATTTTTTCCCAGCATACATCCTAATTTTTTTCAGCTTGCATAACGTGGGTTTGGGTTCCCAACCAAAAGCCCCCCGGAAAGCCCCCTAGGTCAAAAGCCTCCCCCTGTAATCCCCAATCTTTGCACCTAGGGGGGCTTTTGGCATGGGGGGGGGGGCGTTTGACCTATGGGGGCTTTTGGACTACACCCGATTTGCGGACCCGAAAATGCTTGAGGAGCTCCGTTAAGATAAATTTTTATGCCGGGGTTTTTATGCGAAGCCCCCTACACAAGAATAAATATGGATCAAATGATGGTACTTAATGTGCTTCAGTTTATCAAAGACCAGGCACTGCTGTACAGTATTAATTTATCGCGTGGATTGCATTTGGAGATTCGACATCTTGAATAAAATTGCGCGAGAAAAATGAAATTTTCGAAGGATTTCGAATCAACATGAAACTCAACACAGATCATCTCGAAGAGAGGAACGAAATGAAATCAAAGTACTAATGCGTTCTAGCAATAAATCTAAAATAGCATCCACTTGTGACGCGTTTCTAAATTTTAAATCATTCGTGCAAAAGACCCAAATTCCTCATCCGCTATTAGTTTTTTTTAATCCGAAATTATTGAAATTTGCGCGAGGAATTCCTTGTAGAAGTTCACGCATTAATTCTGCTGGGAGGAAATGAAGAAGATATGCCAGGTTTTCTATAAAACATTTCTCACCGTTATCTCGATTAAAAGTTTGCATACAGTATCTGTAAAATATTGTGGAAGATTCAGCTCGATTTCAGGATTATTTCCATGGCGGTTAGAATGCAAAATTAAGCATTGTATATGCAAATACATTGCAAGGAACAAAGGAAAAAATATTATATTCATCGTATAATGTTCATTCATTTCCTTTCGGAGGGCGAAATTCTTCATTGTAATATTTTGAACCTTCCGGGCTTGTTCACCATTAGATAAATGGCCAGTAAAATGTCTTTATTTTGTGCGATCTTTATTCACTGCAGAAGCGAGGGGCACACATTTTGAAAAATGTCTAAATTCCTAATTATTACCCATGGATTACGCAGACAAAAGATACTGACCATGAGTAAGACCAGACCTGGCGAGGCGCAATAATTTTAGCTTGACCTCGAACAGTCTGTGTAAATACCCTTTTATGTTCCTGTTCACGAAAAAGGTTCCAGGTCTTTATTTTTTTTCAAGTACAAACCTTTTGTACCCCTCGGCTTTATTTTTTTCTGTTACAGGTCGCCCGTTCCCTGAAGGCCTTGCGCAAAATTTCGCCAATACCGAAGCCGTGCTGAAAAAAAAACCGTTCGTAACGGATTCCAGGAACTAAAATTCCTTTTCCTTTGATGCTTCATTATTTTCGACTGGCGCCATATTCCTCGGATTAACAGGAATGAATATTCACTTGTATCTTGATGAAAAAGCGCAGGATATCGCTTGGGTTATTTTTCAATTTTTGTTCCCCTACGTTCAACTTGGCACGAAAAAGAAGCAGAGGAAAATTTGTGTCATGCGTTCCCACACAGAGCGAAAATTCCTTTGATAAAACGTGGGAACTGATTGATTGTTGCCTACTTGGGTATTAAAAATAACTTCTCCATCAAAAGTGCTTCGACGCGTAACGAAAATAATGTCCGGAAAAATTAGAACTCTTGCCAAAGGAGCGCATGTGTAACTGAGCGGGCGCACAAAAACGCGCCATATTGTTCAATCATTAATTTTTTTTTCGAATCATTAGTTTTTTTTTCTGGTTATCGAGTATTGTTAACTCGGTTGAAGATGAATGCACACTTCGCACAGCATACGGTTTCACCAATTCTTTTCCAATCCTCGAATTTTTGCGCAGTCTGTACTGTACTGTACTAAAACCCATCTGAATCATGCGTGGTACTAAACAGACATATTCTACACAATTGTTTCATGAACCAATTTTGTTTTCATTGATTTTCCAAAAGCTATTATGGGAAACCCCAAGGAAGCGGCCACTGAAACGGATTATGTTTGTTACCCGGATGTAGTCCAAAAGTCCCCCTGCCAAAAGCCCTCCTCTGAAGCCCCCCCCCCCCTGCCAAAAGCCCCCTTG